TCGAAGTACATCATCCACATCGTGTGGCTGTCGGTGGAGTACCTCGGCTCGTTTGGATGCGCCTGCATCAGCGACGAGCGGATGCGGGCGATCTCGGCCCGTCATTCAGCCCCGATGGGCACTGGTGGTACCGGACGCCGTCGGCGCTCAAGTTCCACGAGCCCGGCACCCGCATGTCTGGGGGCGCCGGCTAGTCAGCCTCGTACAGGAGGCGCGCCTTGTCCTCGTGGAGATGGCGCCGGCCGAAGCCGTTCGCCGCCGCGGAGTCGTTGGGGTACCGCTCAGCCATTGCTCGTCGGCGGAGGGAAGAGGGGGAGAGGTGGCTTCTGTGGGGAGACGAGGCGAGAGAAGGCGAGTTGTGGCGACTGTGGCGTTCATCGGCGGGGAGGTCGACTTTTATAGCCAAAGCGGGGGCAGTGAGAACCTGCATGCCGGGCGACGCGTGGCGGGAGCGGGCGGGACTCGCGTCGCGGCGCCTTCATTGCGCCGCCCGTGAGGCATCAATGGAGGCTAACCGGCACGGCAGCGCGGCAGCTTTGGCACTCATTCCCGCGAGAACCGAGGCAATGAGGACGACGAAGCGGCGTGTCGCTAACTCGGCGGATCCATTCCCGTTCGCGCCAAAACGCTTTCCCCGGCGCCCCCAGGTGACCTCCAGCGCGCCGGGTTAGGCCTGGGTCCGCCGACGCCAATTTTCGCCCAAACTGACGAAAAACAGGCTCATGAAGGGCGCGACTGAACCGTTTTTTGGGCGCCGGCGACAAAAAATGGCATGGGAGCCTGTTGGAAACGCCGCGGGAGATGCTCTAAGTAACTGAACGTCGATGACTGATGGCAACAACCGGCCGGTGTAGGACCTAGGACGCCAAGAATTGTCGCCTTGTGCAGTTGTGCCCGTGTCGCCCGTCGCCGGCACTCTGGAGTCTGGAATTATCGTCGATCGATCCGATGATCCCGTTCCCCAGCTTTAATTTTTACCGTGTTCACGGGGTGTCTTAGCTAGAATAACATGATTGGGGAAATAAGTGTGAGGGGCCCCACACCCTCGAGGGAGGGGGGGGGGGGGGCGAAGATTATTAAACGAAGGAGTCCGTCAACTCCCCGTTTAGAATTGCTGTCCCGTTCCCTGTAGCGGCGCGAGTGCCTTTGCGGTTTTGCTTTTGCGATCGATCTCAGAGTCCCCGCCGATCGATCGAGCAGCGGCCTTTTTTTAGTCAATCGAGCAGCGACCAGAGGAGGCTCGACGGACTCACGCGGACGTGCCAACGGCCAGCGCCATGCGAGGCCCAGCTCCCTCCATTTAAAAATACTTGAATTTCATTTGTCTAAAAATGAATGTACATATATACTAAAACATGTCTAGGTACATCTATATTTTGACAAATAGAAGGCATATATTGTGGAACAGAGGGCATATATTTCTAGAGTACATATATTTCTAGAGTACATACTAAGCCTATATAAAAAAAAATTGGAGACCCCAAAATTTATGGGCTTTGTGCGGGCCGCGCAGTCTGCACACCTATGGGCCTGGTCCTACTCCTGCCCTCCTCTCTCTCCCAGGCCACCCATCACCACGGGATACTCTAGGGCTTAATTTTTTTTTGAAACGTTCTAGGGCTTAATTTGGATGCTAGGGGAGCTATTCCCAGGAAAGAGCCCCCCGGGGTGAAATCATCTTATGCAAATTGACATCCCATGGAAGATCAGCATCCTCATTTGGCCGACGGAAGACCGGGGAAACCCAACCCGGGAAACAAACAACTGAAGAAGCGAAGAGCTAAGTTTTCGATTAGATGTCTCGTTGTTGTTCGTCGGAGGAGAGAGGAGTCACGAGGGGTAGCCCATCTTGCCGAAGTACAACACCTGGGCCGTAGCCATTCTCGGGCGCGGGGTGGGGGTGGGGGTGGGGGGGCGCTCGCGGCAGAAGCTCCGGGTCGAAGGGGCGGGCAGTCGTGGAGAAGCTCAGGAGGATCTGAGTCAGCGTCATCGGCTCATCGCTTCTCGTGGATTTCCTTCCCGACCTGATGAGACGAGAAAAACGCTCCCGAGGGACGGCCATGGAAAGGGCGGGGGTCCCTCCCGACAATGCGCTACCAAATGGCGATTTGGGCAGCCCGGGGCGAAGCCGGCCCGTGGCTTCCTTCCAGGGAAAAGGCCGGGATCCCCTCGGGATACACTGCAACCAAATGAGGCCTAGATGTCTAGAAATTCCTTTCCTTTCCTTCCTTCTTGATTTCGCATGACAAATTTATTCCTTTCCTTCATGCTCATATTTTGATATACAAATTGGTGAGGTATGGTGCAAGGGAGCGATGTGGTACTATTTAATACGTAACCCGACTTTTCAAAATCAACATGGGCCGATCTAGCTTAGTTGTTTGCCGATATACTTGATGGGAGGTCATGAGTTTAAATCCTCAGACCTGCAATTTTTTTTTTGCCAAATTAGGATAGTTTTTTGCAACACCTTAGGTGGATATGTAGGCTGGCTGCTTGTCGTGCCTTGCCTTAGGTGGGCTGACCAATTGAAGTATAATTTACGGGTGGTATTTTTGCCACCTCTCCCTTGGACTGCAATGGGGCCACATTTGTCACTTAAACGGACTAGGTTAGGCTGGACAGTCCATATATAATTTAGTACCACCTCTAACATAGAAGATTTTAGCGGCTTCTCGCGATGGACGAAAATAATCTATATGCTGAATAAACAAAATATCAGAGAAACTCACCTTCCTTTATTGTTACTAGGAAACATACCCGTGCGTTGCAACAAAAAAAATATCATGAGCTCCTAGCATAGTAAGCATGGCTAAAGACTACCCAACACCACCCCTTCCAACACACATCTATTTCATCTCTTATCAAATCCGTGAAAGCTTTTACAAGCTCGTGAACATTTTTCAATTCGTGATCATTTTGGAAACAAGCAAATGTTTTTTTTATTTTTACTTTTTTTTAAATCATGCACATTTTTTAAAAAATTAACTACTTAACTTTTTAGGAAAGCATAACATTTTTTGACAGACAAAAACAAGTTTCAAATTCATGAATATATTTTGAATACACAAACATTTTTATTTGAAATCCTGAATAATTTTCGAATTCACTAACATTTTAGTAAATATGAACATTTTTATAATTCATGATTTTTTTTTGAAATTTTCAACATCTTTTGGAACTCATACGCATTTCTTGAGTTGACGAACAGTTTTTGAACCGACATACATTTTTTAAAATTTGGGAATAATTTTTGAAATTCACCAAACATTTATTTTGTTTTGACGATTATTTTTGAAGTGAATGAACATTTTTGAATCAGTGAGCTAATATAAAATTTGGGAACAAATTTTCAAACTCGCTAACATTTTTGAATTTATTGAAAAACATTTGTATTCAAGAATATATTCAGAATACACGAACATTTTTTGTTTTCCTGAACATTTATTTTCAAAATCGTTAACATTATCTGTTTATGCGAACAATTATTTTCAAAATCACGAGCACTTTTGATATTCCCAATTATTGTAAAGAAGAAAATAAATAAATAAAAATTAAAACAGGTTGTGTCCCGCCCCAGACATGGGCCGGCCCAAAACGTTTGGCAAATAGGACGTCCCTTCAACATGATGTACATTCGCTTTTGTGAAACAGAGGGCAACTTAGGAGGGAGCAACTAACTAACGAGCGCTTCTTCGGGAGCCTCGCAATGATCAGCGCCACTTGGCGCGCTCTCAGACATTCGCCACGTGTCACCTCTGGGCGCTCCCTTCGGATTTTGTTTTTTTATTTTTCGCACACGTTTTTGGCTTTTTAAACGTTTTTTTTGGTTTCTTTTTTCATATTTTGGTTTTCCACAGGTCTTCCCTAGCTTTTCGACCAAAAAAATAAATTCGAAAAAAATAAATTTTTTCCGCAAAAAAACGCATATTTTTTTTCGCGAGAGTCACGTTTTTGTTTTCACGAGAGTCACGGTTGTGCTTTCGCGAGAGGCACGGCCGTGCCTCTTGGAAACGGGAAAAAACGTGTTTTTTGTTTTTTTTTCATTCGCGAGAGGCACGGTTTTGCTTCCGCGAGAGGCACGATTGTGCTTTCGCGAGAGTCACGGCCGTG